CCAAATTGGTATTCACTTTGAGAGTATTTACTAAATTGGTATTCACTTTGAGAGTATTTACTAAATTTATACTATTATTTCACAAGTGAGAGTAAAAATAAAGTTGAAATTATTCGTTTTACATGTCTTTGGTAATCTTTATAACTTCACAAAAAATATTGTATACCTCAACCTTTTTCAAAATATTCTAATTTAAATAAGACTTTGAAATGTTAATTTTTAAGTGTATATAGTAGAATTTTCATTAGCGAATTCTATATGTTTTATGTTGTTTGATATTTGAAAAATTTTGTCACGATGAAATATAACAAAAACAAAAAAAATTTGTTCCACCCCTTGAATGACAGAGGTCAAAATACTAGTTGTTAAAAAGAGTAAGAAAATAATAGGAATGTGTCATCTTCAAAAACATATCATACACGGACGAGACTATTGAAGAAGACATGAATACTAAAGTGTGTTTCTAGTTTGTTGTGATAATATTTATTGACTTATTTTTGATAAATATTATATTTCTGAATTTATAATATGTTTATTGAATATATTTTTTGTAAAGTGAGTTAAATGAGAGATAAGTCATTATTATGAATGTTCATAAATGATTAGTTATATATTTTCGTAAGAGTTGGTCAAAGTTAAGAAGTAAAAACTGGTTTAAAAATAAGTTAATTAAACCTACTTATTTTTTATTTAAAATAACGAGTTTACAAGTATAGAGAAATATGTTATTAATGAACATGTAAAATATGTTATAAGGCGTGCCTTTAAAATAAGTAATTTTGATGTTATTCTCAAATTATGATTCATCTATCATATACATCTCATCCTGCTCGATTACTCCTTCCGCCACAAAAAGATGTTCTCATTTCATTTTTTTGCGCATCCCATAAAATACTTTCACACACATCTATAATGCTTAAAATTCACTACACTCCTACTTTATTGCGGGTAGAAGTTGTTTCGAAAACTTTTTTAGATATTTGAGTTGGGATAGAAGTATTTTATGAGATCTGCAAAAAAAAGGAAACAAGAACATCTATTTGGGACGGAGGGAGTACAAAGTAAGAACAAAATTAGAAAGTAACACCAAATATACTCATTTTAAGAGTACGTCTTTTTTAAACATGAAGGCTTTTATGGGGGGGGGGAATATTTAATTTGCTGCGCCTCTTACCTGGGTTTGCTGGTTCTTTTGGTTTACGCCAAAGTTTCCATACAACAAATATGACTAAACAAAGAATAAGGATTATTAAAACCCCAATCTCCATTTTCCCGGCGAATGATAAACTGTCGAGGAATGTCTTCCCGTACGATTCATTGTCGCCGTCGTTGGCATTGGAGTTTGAGATGTGAAGAAACAAAAGAAACACAAATATGAGTATTATTTTCTTCATTATATTTTGCTGGTTGTTCTTATTTAATTTCCACGTTTTCTAGGGCAGATATATAGATAGCTATAGATAGATATAGAACAAGATTTGGCTACCTTTGCATAGATTACTCCATAATTTACTCAGTCATGACACATTTGGACTAATTTGATTTTGTGGGTTTTTTGTACCTTGGCAAGTGAGACGTCTTTCATACTCTTTTCGTCTCAAAGTGTTTTTTTTATTTTTTATTTTTTGCAGTAATTCATGATCAACGTTTGACCTAATAAGATTAAATAAAAATTACATTGAATACAAATGGAGTAAACTCATAATCTCTTTGTCATATTTAGTCCATATTTGCCAACTACTCCGTATGTACTACGTATTATCTTTGCAGTCCTTATTCATTGGGCAGCCTAAATCAACTATCAGGGGGAGGGGGCAAGGTGNGGGGGGGGGGGGGGGGGGGGCATGGGATGGTTCTGAAAATGAGGTAAGAACAATCAATTTTACAATTAAAACATTATAGATGTCCGACGTCATAATAAAATTGTCTTGGTTTTAAGGTCAAAAGATCTATACTATTTTTATTAAGTTCATTCTTATTATTTTACTTTTTATATAGAATTATGGTGCCACATTGTTGCAGAATCTAACTCCTATTTTGAAAACAAAAATATATAAGACCTATTTTAAAGATTGGCATTATGCTTTACTTTTACTTTTGTAGTACTCGTAATTAATATTTTTTGCACCCCTACTTTAGATGATCATTTGTGATTCATTTGTGGTTCATTTGTGATATCACTCTTTGTAAAGCCATAAAGAGAGGCAGCATTTTATTTTGGACATCCCAAAACATCACTCTTTGGAAAAATATTTGTTTTTTAATGTAGCCAACTATACTAATTTTTATAATTATCAATACTTTATTTCTTCTTTTATGAATTTAAAAAACAAATATTTATATAAAATTAACTGCATGTGCATCATTATTAACATTATTTTTTATTTCAAAAAATTATTTTCTAGTTTTAGTACATATGTTATCCTATTTTATTATTCAAAGAAAATTATGCTTTTATTTACACGACAGAGGAAGTATATAAAATAGGCAATACTCCAAATTTAGTTGTAGTGTTTAAATGTACAGTTTTGCTATACTTTAGGTATGACATTGTGTAATTGACCATATAAATATCACAAATATAAAGGTTATTTATATTAAAAAGAAATAAATAAAGAATACCAATTAAATAATTGTATGTATAGAGTAATTAAAATATGACTTTAGATCTTCAAGAATTACATCTCTGAAAATAGTCAAATTCTATGGTGGACCAAAGGTCCACCATGCAACTACATATGAACAAAATAAGCATTTTTTTACTAATTAAATAAGCATCTATTTTTTTAATATAAAAATTTTTTTAAAAATATTTTATATGTGAGAAGTTCCACAAAAACCGTATGCACCAAAGAAGCACTCATGAAAATAAGCAATTGTTTTCAAAATTAGTAAATAAGTTTATAAGATAAATAACTATTTTGTAAACTCATTTTTCTTATTTCATCCATATTTTTATTTTGTTTTTCACTATTATTAAATATTTTTTCCAAGTATTAATAGTTTTTTGTGCATATACGATTTTCATTTATGTAACTGTATGTTCCAAGATTATTGACTTTAGTGTTTAAAAAGTAATCACAAGTTTTTAAATAAAAATTAAGTTTTCAAACTTTTACATAAAAATTTACATCTAAAACATATTCATAAAAAATCTAAATTTGAATTAAACAATTAAAGTATATACACACTAGAATTATAGTAGAGGTTAAAAATGTATCCAATTGTTAGGCCCCCACTCCAAACAAATGGAAAGAAAAAGAAAAAAAGAGCACACAATTTTTAACGTGGTTCGGCACCTCAAGACCTACTCCACGACCCCCTCTGGGATAAAATCTCACTAGTAATTTTTGCACGGAAAAATTACAAACCCTCTCCAATATTTGACACTCACAACCTAAAATCTAATACACAGTTATATAGATTGAAGGATTGTGTTGTGTGATGGAAGCCTATATCTCCTCTTTATTTATAGGCTCCAATCCCTCCTCAATTTTCCTATCCCACCGATGTGGGACTTTGAAGTAACACTCAACACCAATCATGTGTATTTCACACATATAACCAAATCTTTAAAAATGATAGATCTTAGAAGGAATGCAAATAAATTTGGACGTATAAAATTTAACGTATAAAATTTATGTGTTTCATTTATTCATGATGTGATACAACAACTTTAATACTTTGTACATGATGGTGTAAATTACCTAACCGGGTAAACTACTCTAGATCGAGTCTAGAATTGTTTACTTGATTCGATAAAGTAAAAAGGTAAAAACACGAAAAAATGACCGGGAGGACTGTAGGTGGAAACACCTCACTACAAAAAAAGCGGGTAGTACTGACATATCCTTAGTGACAGAAAATTTATTTGTCGCTAAAAAGAGAATATTACCGACAGATAAAAATTTTTGAAGGAAAAAACTATTTGGCCTACAAAAAGAGTAATATCTGTCGCTATTGGTTATAGTTTTAGCAACAAACTTATATCTGTCAGTACTACTCATAGTATTAGCAACAAAACTTTATCTGTCAGTATTGTTGTAGTATTAACAACAAAGAATTTATCTGTCAGTATTGTTTTTAGTATTAGCAACAAAATTAATCTATCGGTATTGTTTATAGTTTTAGCAACAACGTTTTATCTGTGGGTATTGATTTTATTGACATTTAATTTAAATATCTTAATTATAAAAACCAAAAAATTAGGCATCATATAGAACACGAAATTGAGGTCATGAAATTCAAAATGAAAAATCTCAATTTGAATTTTGTTGTTTGGTCGCACAAAAAATAATACGGAGTATATTAAAAATGAATTATAAATTTAAAAGATAAAAAAAATAAAAATTGAAGATTAAAAATAATTTTTTTACATTGACTATTTAAAAATTAAAAATTATAATTTTTAATTTCAGATTTTTAAGTTTTAAGTTACAATTAAAGGACTAAATTGACCGAATAGAATCAAGACATATGATAAAAGAACAAGTCAACAAATAAAAAACGAGAACACCTCCTTAGAATCTAATTCATCCGTAAACTTAAAACAATCCAATGAATATAAAGAATCCATGGATTTTAAACAAATTATCAAAATCTTTTAAAATCCAAATTGAATACATCTCTTTAGAATCTAATTATGAGGAAAAGACCAAGTAAACATACTCCCTCCATACCAAAATATAAGCAACACTCCACTATTTAAAAATCCCGGGAACTTTTATTTATTTTTTGAATTTTCATTGATTATTTGATAGAATAAAATATTCTTGTCACCACTTGTTTTGTGAAACTTTTGACGTAGTTTTTAAATATGTAAGTTTTATTTTTCATTTGTAGATCATTCTTTAAATAAAATGGATTGAAAAAATTCAAAAAATTACTTCGTTTAGCGTAATGTTGATTATATTTTGGGACGGAGGGAGTATGAGCAAAATGGGGTCCAGTTTTTAATTTTGATAAATTTTAATTGTGTTAGAGGGCTGGATATGGGAGAAATAGGACCGGGGATTGGAAATAACTGGCCACTTCTTCAATGGACAGTTTGGACGGAGGGCTCGCAATTTCGATTGGAATTGCGCACGAAGATAGACAGATCGGGGACGGACTACTTCTTCGACGTTGGGTGGTTCTCCGATTGCGACAGTAGCGGTGGACGAAAGCTCCTAGTGGCGAAACAGAGCCAAACTTCCGGCAAACCCTAGTCTTTGTCGGACGAACGAGGGCAGATTCCGGTCCTTTTTCTTCATCCTTCTTTGTTTAGTATTCCAATCCAAGCTTTTCACTAATTTCTTAGATTTTTTTACTCTACTTTGGTGTTCATTGTTGGATTGTTTTGTTTTAATATTGACGTGTTCTTGTCTTATGATTTTGTTTCTTGAAATCATGAGTGGCTAAAAAAATCATGAAGGGACTTCTCAGGTGTTACCCGAGTTCCTTCAAGTTGAAGCATTTGCCAAGTTGAGCAGTGCCATTTGGAAGGTAAATCTGATCATCATCAATGTCACCTAAATTCCAACTTTGCTGGGACTGATTACATGAATTTTTCAGGAACAATCCATTCATTGTATGAAAGTAATTACAATATAAGATTAATGCAGCAAAGTGTACTTCTTGCTATAATGTTCTTGTTACTTCGACCCCCATACCCCGTAATGGGCGGGAGCCTTTGAGGCACTAGCATAATGTTGATTCTGTTGTAATGTTCTTGTTACTCTGTTGACTTAGTTTTACTTTTCTTTTCATTGAACTCTTGTTTTATCATGACTATGTTGTGGCAATACAAAGTCCACCACATACCTTCAACACCATTTTCTTGACCACAAAGATTCTTTTCGGTAATTTGGGTACATCAAATAATTTCGGAAATCACACGATTGGTGATTTCTACTGTAGTTTATTAATGTATATGAAATATAGGCGCTTGCTATTCTGTTACTACATAAATGTAGTTTTATAGTAGTGAAATACGTGTATACAAGAAGTCAAGAAGTAAAGAAACTGTTAGGTTTACTTAAACCCTCAAAGTAACACTTGGATCACTTATATTTGCTTTCAGATTAATGTGTTTCTTATATTAAGTTTATCAGTAAAAAAATGTTTCTTCTTTTCAATAGTTCAGGGCTCTGTTTGTACGAGAATGCAGTTGCGAGTGATGTTGCTATATTCTTTCAAGAAATTAATAGATTTTCAAATGTCAGGCAGCAGAAGCACAAGTTGACATGCCTATAGTTGGAGCTATTTCCTTGTATGTCTCTCTTGACTTTTACACTTCGTTTACATCCTGATCAACTTGATTATGTGGATCAAGTATTGGTATGGATTTTTTTCTTTTTTTATGACAAAAGAGTATGAGTCAGTAGTTGCTTTGTGCAAAGTCACTGCCATATCTCATGTAGTGATAGCTTGAATTGCTATAACACTCATGCATCTGTAGCATTGCACTTTTACCCATCAATAATGGCTGACACTTTCTTATATAAATTAGGTGGAAAGAATATGTTATTCATTCTTAAACTAAGATTTGTACCATTTATATTATTTTTCCTTTTTAAACTTTTGGAAAAGGAAGAATCTGACATTTACAAAAACTACCAAGCTTTTCCAACAAATTCCGTCACAAGTTATATGTAACACACAATCCAAAATCAATTGATATAAATGAGTTTGAATCCCATCAGTACATCTTTGATCCCTTCCATTCCATAATTCAACTGTTTTTTTTCTTTTTGCTTTTTCTGTGCTTCTACAATTGACATGGAGCTTGTGTTAAGAAACTCTCTGGGAACAGGTAAAGCATTTGAGATCTTGTTCTAAACGGTGCGCCTTGAAAGAAGAGAAAGCAAAAAGATTGAAAATTGAACAAGAGCAAGAAGAAACAAAAGAAAGACTCCAGAATTTAGAAGATGTAGTATCATTGCTTTTAAATACCCTGGTTAGTCTCTATTTATCATTGTTAACTACCCATATTTCATTTGATTTTTAGTTCATTATATAGTTTAAATTTATGCCACCTAGCATGAGTGTAAGGTAAATTTGGGGCAACGTTTTTAATTACGTTATCATGTGCTTATAATTTTTTTGCATAGGGTTCAACGTCTAATCAATATGATGGTAATACAACCACTTAGAAAAGTCATGATGAGGATCGATGAAACCAAGATGATGAAGCTGAAAGCAATGAACTTGAAGATGTAGACAGTGACGAGCATTAAAGCTTTGGACTATATCTTCTAATCATATTTTAATTTAGTTCACTTTGACTATTTATACTTTAACTTGAAACGTATGCAAATGATGAACTAATTTTGTGATGTTGGTTTACTTTCTAGTAAAAGGGTTAGTTGTAACCCTTTGAAATGTTATTGGATTATGTATTTTTGTTAACACAAGTATGAGTTTTATTTTTTATTTGTCAATGAAATTATTTGATATCACTTAAATAGAGCATGTTGGTGTGAAACATGGTATTGGTGGGTAATCCAATTTTTAGCAACGGTTATAATAAATATTAATATTGGTAAAAACAATGTATTACAGATAGAAAAGAAGGATTTACCCACACTATTTTTTGTCGGTAATTCATGTTATAGCGACATAAATGTTTTGTCGGTACTCCCCTCGTTTTTAGCTACATCTTTGGTCTGTCGCTATTACACTATTTTAGCGACAGTATATTTTATCTGTCGGTAATACTTTTACTGACGGAGTTTTTAGCGACAGCGTAGCGACAGACACTTATCTGTCGGTAAAAGTGAGTAGCGACAGATATTCAACTTTTAGCGACATATTGACCCCTGTCGGTATTGCCTCCTTTTTTTGTAGTGCCTGTAGCCCAATTAATATTATAACAGAGAATGCGCGGGAGGTTTTACAGGGGAGTGTAGAGAGAATGAATTCGGCTCCCTACTTCTGAGGATTACAACAGTATATATACTAAGTTTGGGGGGGGGGGGGAACAGGACGTCATGCACCCACAAGGAGGCACGTTCTCGGATGGTGGGAGGTGATGGCCTTCGTCCTCTTGTTGCCTTGTCACCTTGCGAGGGAGATTGTGCCCTTGTCGCGTACTGGCTTGGACAGATTCCTTCAGCATCTCCCTTGATCTTCCAGCGATGTTAGTCACTACAATCCAAGTTCCTTTGGATTCTATCTGCCGACACCCTCCAACCCTCGGAAATTGTACCGGGTAGTTCTTAAGGGTTGGATTAGCTTGACTTTGAAGGATGAATTAGACGATGGAGTCGTTTGATCGGTATACTATCCTAAGTGTACCAGTCAACTTTTCGATCAGTCAAGCTCTCTCCTCCTGACAATTGAGATCTCTCTTTCAATACTGAATGACTTGACCGGTCAGGTATTTGGACGTCTCCTCTGACCGGTTCTGGGTAGATTACACCCATCAATAAGCCCTCCACTTCTCGGCCATGTAATTATCATTGGCGGGAAGTAGAAATCTTGGAAAAGGAATCCAAAATTCGAATTTCACGACTTTTCCCGCTCGAATATTTCATATTCAAATTTGAAAAGTATCCATTTTGACACGTGTTGCGCGCTGAACGCACCTTAACCGTGTCCCTTCGCCTTCCCAGGTGTAATGATGGTGCCGCCTGACGCGGCGCGCTCCGAGGAAGCCACGTTGCCTTTTTCCCAATTCTTCCTTGCCTATATAAGGACCTTCAGCCCATTCATTCCTTCACTTTCTCTCGCGCGATTCTCTTGAGTTTCACCGGTCAAGTTCCCAGTTCTAGCCTTCCAGCCCTCCGAGTCAAGTAAGCTCCCCCTCTTTCTTCTATTTCTTTTCACAGTCATGTCTTCCGCTGGTAGTCATAGGACTTCATCCTCAAATGACTACTAATCTGAGGACTCCACCTCATCATCTTCTTCGACCGGGTATTCGTCACCTGATTCTGTACCCAGACCAAATCCCAAGCCTTCAGTTCCTGAGCCGGATTTGGTCAATCAGATGCCCGGTCAGGTTTTTGCGGAGAGGGAAGAACCGGTCAATGTTGAACCGGCTCCCTATGACCCCGAAGCTGAATCTTGGGTGCAGTGGGAGGAAAGGTTGGAAACAGCCAGTTACTCTCCCCTCCCCACCTTTTATGTCACAGACATTTACCCCCACGTCTCCAAAATAGCTTTAAATAAGGCCCGTAGGAACCTCCCGGAGGGCTTTGTCACTGCTTCAGGATTCTTCCCGGGCAAAATACTCCCAATGCCCACCGATTGCTCAACTCTTTCGTTAATATCTGCCACCACCTCCGCATCCATCCCTCCCTGCGTCTTTTTCTCTACGCCTTTGAGGTTCGCCCCGGGAAACCTGGTTGCGAAGGTTTCGTTTACTTCAAGGGGCGGAACAATCGCAAATTCATCTCTGACCTTCCACAAAGCAGCCAGTTGTGGAAGGAAAAATTCATTTTTATAAGATTCCCCCTTTCGTTACTCCTCTAGCCGGTTTAAGGTGGAGTGACAACCTTCTTAAAGAAGAGTATCCCAAACCAGTATCCACTCCCGACTTCGAAGAGAGTCTGGAGAGGCTTCTGAAGGGTGACCCCCTTACCGGCCAGAAGTATCACTACGAGAACTGGGTATGGAGGGTTCAACCAGGTGGCGAGGGTACCCCCTAAGCCCATGAAGCAGCGGGGCATGGGGTACCTTCCCCGGGCGACACTGCGGAGGCTGAGGGCCACAGTCACCCAGGTATCCTTCGTTTCTTTTCTTCTTCATTCGATTGTACCGGTATTATTTGCAATACTTATATTTATTGCCTGTTCTACAGACATGAACTTCAGATCCTTCAACATTCCCATGAAGACCGGTGCATCTTCTTCTGCTGGCCCGCACCCCTCTTCCACGAAGACTGTCCTGGTTCAACTGGAGACATTGGAGATCCATTCTGAGGATGAAGCTCCTTAGACCGAGGCCACCCAGACCGGGAAGACTATCACGAATCCTCCCCCTAGCAAGGGGAAAGGGAAAATGAGGACAAAACAAGCGGCAACCACTCACCTGGCGGCCAGAAAGAGGAAAAGGGGAGAGAATGTCCCGGTGGGGGAATCTCTTCAAGAACTCCGGGTAAAAATGGGGCTCCGGCTAAAAGAGGTAAAACTGTACCGGTATACTTTCTTGGATTCACCCCTCGTTCAATTATATATCCCTTATACTTTTCGTTTTACAGATGGGTGAAGTTGGGCCGGACGCCTTGGAGCAGCTCGCTGAGGATTCTCCCGGCCTCCTGGTTATCCCTGTTAGAAGAAAAACTAAAGAGGGCCAAGGCCCATAATCGGGAGCTTCAGGACCTGACAGCCCGGCAACTAGATGAGATGGCCAACCTCTCAGCGATTGCCAGGAGGGAGAACGCAGAGATCCTCCAGTTAAAGGAGGAGAACACTCAGCTGATGGGGGAGGTTTCCCACCTGAAGGAGGAGGTGAAACTGAAGGAAGAAGAGCTGCCCGGTCGAGCCAAGCAATGGGTGGAGGAGAACTTGTTTGAAGCTGCCCGGGTTCTTACATCTTCTGAAGAAAATACCATGGAGGGCTTCAAGCTGCTATACCGGGAGGAGCACGGAAAAGAAATCATCACTCTCAGATCGGCTCCTATGGTTTCATGTCTGGTCAGAAAAGAGACCGGGAAGCCACGCATGAGATATTGGCTGACCGGGTTCCAAACTTCAATGCGGAATCATATGGCCTGGCCCCCATACCGGATGAAGAGCCTTCTCCCCCATTCCCTCTTGACTGATCTCCCCGGCTGCGACCGGTTATCTCTTGTAATCTTTGGAACATCTTTTTTTGCCCTGTTATGCCCGGTGTACTTTGTAAACATTTGACATTTAATTTTCCCCTTTCAAATGCCATGTTTAATTTTCGTACCAGTTATCTCTGCTCTTTTGCTTGCTTCTTAATTGATACTTTGCTTTTGCTCCTTAAAATGTCTTCATGAATACTTTTATCGGTACACATGCCATCTGATAAACATCTGTCGGTAGAATTTCAAATTTCGTTCTTAGATGTCTTTATCTTGAAGATCAAACCTTGACCGGTTGAACTTCGACTTTCACTTTTGGATACCTTCCTTTCGGTAGTCTACAAACTCTTCGATCAAGTACAGTTGGACCGGTAGGATCCCGCTACGCGGTCTGACCGGTCAGCTGCTTCGCCTTGTAGAATGTTCAAAGTTCCACTGTATCAATACCCAACTGGGGTATTCCTTTTTTTTCACCGATAGGTTATAGATGGAAGCACCTGTAACCTAGTAATTTCTTGAAGTATCCTTAACCGGTAAGAATACTGGAGATTTAACCATGTCGAATGGTTTCGAACCCTCTCCAAGGTTAAAATGCACCCTTCTTCCAGGGCCCCATGTTTCGGGTGATTAAGTCTTTTAATGGCTCTTTGATTTCTACTATCCTGGGAAGGCCTTAGCTCACCCCCTGTTCAAGTCTTCCCTGAGAAGGGGGAATCCGAACCGGTCGGAATAGGATGCATCACGGTGGACAACCCTCTTCTATTTCTTTTAATGGGCCTCATTTAGTCCCCAATCAGTTTGCCAGTCTCGGTTGATTCCCCAATACCGGTCAAACCTCATGGGCCCGTGTAAGTACGGTTCGAACCTTCTTCCAGGTCCAGCCCTCTTACAGGCATACCCCTCATCCGGGGCCCCTCTTCCAGGTTTTATTATTTTTTCTATTATACTGAGCAAGACCGGTGTAGTAACCAGCGTGCCAGGTCCGGGCCTGTGTCTCAGTTGGCTTATCGGAGTGGATTCGATCCACCCAGGAAGCCCTCCTAGGATAGGTTCGACCTATCATTTTTGCTGCTCCCAGATAGAATATTGGACTTCATCAATTCGATTGATAATAGAAGTAGGCCTTGCCTAGTATTACAATCATTTGTAGAATTTGCGGAGATGATGAGAATTCCAAGTTCTTTCTACCGGTATACCTTCCAGAGTTTCTAACCGGTAGGTTCCCGGGCGAATAATAACTCTCACCCGGTAAGGTCCTTCCCAATTTTTCGACAGTTTTCCTCCATCTCCTGGCCTACTAGCTTCTCTTCTTCGTAAGACTTCATCCCCAACTTGGAAGTATCGCGGTCCAACCTTGTTGTCATGGTATTTCTTCACGACTTGTTGGTAAGTGCTCATTTTAACTTCCGCAGCCATCATTCATTCTTCAACCAAGTTGAGTTCGGCTAAATGGTCTTCTTCATTTTGCTGGGGTTGATAATTTGATTCCTGGAATATTGGGAATTCAGCTTCGATGGGTAATCTTGTTTCACACCCATGAGCTCTTCTAGGTGTTACTCGAAACGCCCATATGATGTGTGGAAGCTCTTCCAACCACTTGTTTCCTGCTTCCCCAAGCCGCTTCTTCAAACCATCCACAATCGTTCGGTTGGCGTTTTCCACTTGGCCATTTCCTTGGGGATATGCCACCGAAGAACGATTGTGTGTAATCCCGAAGCCCTCCAAGTATTCGGTGAATCTCGGATTCTGGAATTCTGGGCTGTTGTCGGTGATGAGATTCATGGGAATGCCAAATCTCGTGATGATGTTCTTCCAAATGATTTTTTTGCATTGTTGTGTGGTTATATTGGCCAACGCTTCAGCCTCGATCCATTTCGTGAAGTAATCGATGGCCACGATCACAAATTTCTTCCTTCATTGAGCGATTGGGAACGCTCCAATGATATCAACCCCGGATCTAGCGAATGGGATGACATTCGATACGGGGTGATAGTAGGTTGCCGGTCTACTGGGGTATTTGTAAAACACTTGGCATGTTCTGCATTTCTAAACGTACCTTTCACAGTCCTGGACAATTGTTGGCCAGTAGTATCCCAACAAGATGATGCGTTGCGAAAGGGTACGTGACATTTGATGTGCCGCGCACACCCCTTCATGGACCTCAACAATGACTCTTTCAGCTTCCCCGTTAGTCAGGCACCTCAGGAGTGGTCCCCCGAATGCCCTTTTGTATAGCATCCCATCAATGACTTAGAACCGGGGTGCCCTGAGCTTCACTTTTCTTGCCCGATCATCTTGTTCTGGCAAGCTTCCATCTGTCAAATATTTCATAAGGTCGCCCATCCACTGATCGTCCTCCCCGACCGTGTTTGACCGGTCAGATTGGCCAGCTATTGCTATAGTGGCGACTTCCAATTTCTCGATGCTTGCACAATCAAGGATCTCTACCCGGGCAAGTTTTGAAACATGTTCGGGAGCATACTGCGTCAATTTGGAGAGAAGGTCTGCATCCGCGTTTTCGGCCCGGGGAGTTTGGGCAATCTTGAATTCTTTGAAGCCTTTCAACAAGGCAAGCACCAGGTCCTTGTATTGCATCATTCGTCCTTCCCTTGCTTCCATATTTCCGGTCACTTGCCAAACAATCAGACTAGAGTCGGATTTGATACTGACCCGGCTGATTTTGAGAGCCTGAGCAAGTCTGAGCCCTCCAGCTAGAGCTTCATATTCTGCTTCATTGTTCGTCAGCTTGAAGTTGAAGATGATTGCATGGTAGATCTTGAACCCTTCTGGGGTGGTAAACACTATACCACCCCCGTACCCTTTAAAACCAGATGCCCCGTCTATCGCCATCTCCCACCACTGCTCAGTGGGCTTGTTGACTGGTAGATCTGGAGTTAGACCGGTCATTTCTACCAGGAAATCTGCAAGGGCCTGTCCTTTGATTGCTGACCTCGGCCGGTACTCAATATTGAATTGAGTTAACATCATTGCCCATTTCACCATCCTCCCGGAGGATGTTGAATTTCGCAGTACTGCACCCAGCGGTTGGTCAGTCAAGACTTCCACCGGGTGAGCTTGGAAGTAGGATGTTAACTTTTTTGCGGAGATGAAAAGCGCGTAGGTTGTATTTTCCATCGCCGTATATCTACTTTCGGCTCCGTTTAGTTCTTTGCTCACATAATAAATGGGCTTTTGTGCCCCATCATCTCTTATTAAAACGGAGCTTACAGCATTCGGGGAAATCCCTAGGTATAGATACAAAGTTTCACCCGGTTCGGGTTTTGACAATACAATGTCTGACACTAGGTATTCTTTCAGCTACTCGAATGCCCTCTGGCAGTCTTTGTCCCATGCAAATATGTTGGCCTTCTTCAGGACTTTGAAGATGGGCAGGGATCTCTCAGCTGACCAGGAAAGGAACCGGCTGAGGGCCGCTCGATGACCGGTCAACTTTTGAACATCCCTAACAGAGGTAGGGGCTTGCATTTCAGTGATAGCCCATATTTTTTCTAGGTTGGGCTCTATTCCTCTCTTGGTCACTATGAATCCCAAGAACTTCCTAGTACGAACCGCGAAGACGCACTTCTTGGGATTTAACCAGAGGTTGTATCTTGCCATTATATCGAATGTGGCACGCATATCAGCCGGGTGGTTGAGAGATACCTGGCTTTTGATCAGCATATCGTCGACGTACGCCTTTATGGTCTTTCCCAACAGCGGCTTGAAGAGCTTGTTTACCATGCGCTGGTAAGTGGCCCTAGAGTTTTTCAAGCCAAACGCCATCACTCAGTAACAGTAGGTTCCTTCAGGTGTGAGGAATGACGTCTTCTCTTCATCTTCTTTTGCAATGTAGATTTGGTGGTAGCCCTTGAAGACATCCATGAAACTTAAGAGTTCGCACCCTGCAGTTTCGTCTACCATCTGATCTGGATTGGGAAGGGGGTATGAATCCATCGGACAAGCCTTGTTCAAGTCCGTGTAATCCACACACATTCTCCATGTGTCGCCCTTGGGAGCAAGGACAACGTTGGCTAGCCAATCCGGGTATTTGACTTCCCGGATGTGACCAACACTAAGGAGGTCCTTCACCTCCTTCTTGACGAAGTCCCGCCGGTCACTAGCCAGGTATCTTTTCTTCAGGCATACCAGTCGAGATCCCTCTCTCACGGTCAACCGGTGGAAAATTATAGAGCGGTCTATCCTGGGCATATCCGCCACGCCCCATGCGAATATGCCCGCGTATTCTTGGAGGACCTGTGTAATCTCCGCCTTGAGATCTTCTGGGAGGTTTGCTCCAATTCTGACCATCCTTGAAGAATCACCCGGGTGAAATTTGATCTCTACCGTCTCAGCCTCGGGCTCCAGCTTCTCCCGGGTTTCTCCCTTGGGGATTTCCTGGGAGATGACGTTGACCCCCTTGGTCATCTTCCTGACTGCCCGGGCATAGCATTCCCTGGCGTTCTTCTGGTCGCCTTTCACCTCACCCACACCACCTGGAGTGTGGAACTTCATGCATAGGTGAGGCATGGAAATCACCTCCCCGACTCTATTGATGTCTGGCCTCCCAAGGATTGCGTTGTGGATGCATTTGATGTCCACAACGATGAACCGCATTTTCTTCCATACGGTTTTGTCACCCGATCCTAGTTCGACCGGTAGAACTATGGACCCTTCAGCCTCCACTGTATCTCGCGTGGAGCCTGAGAGAGGGGTTTTGAGGGGGTCAAGTTGTGTTCGACACAAGCTGAGTTTTTGGAAAGTTTCCAAGTACAGAATGTTGACACTACTGCCGGTATCAACAAGTACTCGAGTGACATCCACCCCATTAATGTCCATGGTGATAACCAATTGATCATTATGATCTTCACCGGTAGGTGGGAGGTCCCAGTTAGTAAAGACGATCGGCTCCCTCTTGGTCTGCTTACGCCTAGCCGGTTCAGCACTTACTTCACCGACGTAAATGCTGCGGACCCAATTATTCTGTTGCGCGGCTGAATCTCCACCTTCAGGTCCGCCGAAGATGATTCCAATGTGCTCTTTGTTAGGGGCAGGTTGCTTCTCCCTTTGTCGGTTATTCCTTCGCCGGTCGTTGTCCCAGTCATTCCCCTGGGCTGCTGGCCTAACCTATTGGTGGTTCTTCTCCTGGGCCTTTTCTCTTCGCCCGGAGTTGGGTTTCAGCCTCAGCAAACTCCCATGCAGTGTGGTAGGCCTCTTGATACGTGGACAGAGGTTTCCGGCAGAACTCCTTGTATACTTCCCCAGCACGTAAGCCATTCAAGAGAAGGGACAACATCGTCTTGTCGTCCATCTCTTCTACCTTCTCTACCTCTTTCTTCCACCGGGTAAGGAATTGAGTGAGGTTCTCAGATTCCCTCTGCCCGGCTGTACTAAGATAGGTGAATTTCTTCCTCTTAATACAATTCTCCTGGAACTTGGCCTTGAATTTTGAGGCCAAGTCACTGAATGAATCAATGCTTCTTGGACAAAGCTTATTGAACCATTCAGTAGCCCGGTTCCGCAAGGTTTGGAAGAAAAGGAGGCACTTTTCTTCATCTATGCAACCGTTCATGGTTGCCCTCTAGTTGAAGGAGTCCAGATGGATTTCTGGGTCCTCCTTCCAGGTAAACCTTAGGGCATCTATCTTCACCTTTCGCGGGAAAGGTATCAGATGGACTCTTGTAGTGAACGGGGACCTAGCGAGGGATTTGTCCCGGTCATTCTTTTCCCCTACTCTTTTCTCCAACCTATTCAGTTTTGCCTCCATCTGCTGGACGCGATCATTTGGGACAGTCAGCCGGTTAGCCACCGGTCCCCTAGGCTGGCTCTCAGCTTCCTCTTCTTGACGGTAGACCCTCGTCCTCGCGGGCTTCTGTTGGTTTGACCGGGAGCGCTGGGTACGGGCAAGCTCGGCCTCCCTCCCCTTGCCTAACCGGGCAAACGCGCTAACATGGGCAACGCTTTGCCCCAGCCTCAGTTTGGCTGACTTTCTCTGGCCTTCTTCCCTATCCCCCAGCCTTTCGAAGGTGGAGTTCCGGGAAGTTGCTGGCGGGATGTTTTTTCCATTCTTCTTCTTGTGGGCCCTCGGGATGTCCCACTCGTCGTCACCGCTCTCGACTGAGACGCAATGACCATCAAGAGTGACCTGTGGGTTTGTACCTTGCGGAGGGCGTGATGGCCAGCAGCGTTGAGCGCACCGGACAAATTGACGGGAGCAACCGCGCTAACTAGCTGCGGCTGGAAAAGCGAGGGCTGCGGTACCGGTGTCTGGAATGGCGACACTGTCATTGGAGTTTGGAGGGGCATCGTCCGAGCGCTTGGAAGAGCGAATGGGAACATGCCTGGGAGGAATGGCACCCCCCCGCTCTGCTGACACATGGCCATGACCTGTCCAAAGCCTTGGATGGCCTGTAGGTTGGCTGGGTCATTCATGAACTGGGTCATGCTAGGTGGGAATGTGACCCTCGGTCCAGTAGAAGGGACTGGAATCGTGAATGGGGTGACCACGCTTGGTGTTGGGGTTGAGCTTAATCCCAACGGCATCACTGGAGCAAAAATAGCCGGTAGGGTAGCAACCATGGGGATGGTGGCTCCCTCAGTAGTGGCTTGCACCTGAGCGGAAGTAGCGTTGATTTGCTGGCTTGAAGACATCTTAAGTGGTGTTTTTGTGGGTAGGTTTGTGTTTGGATGAAAAGAAACCTTAACGGTCCCATGGTTGGCGCCAAAAAGGATGGTGTAAATTACCTAACCAGTTAAACTACTCTAGACCGGGTCTAGAATCGTTTACTTGATTCGATAAAGTAAAAAGGTAAAAACAAAAAAAATGACCGGGAGGACTGTAGGTGGAAACACCTGTAGCCCAATTAATATTATAACAGAGAATACATGGGAGGTTTTACAGGGGAGTGTAGAGAGAATGAATTCGGATCCCTACTTCTGAGGATTACAACAGTATATATACTAAGTTTGGGGGGAACAGGACGTCGTGCACCCACGTGGAGGCACGTTCTCGGATGGTGGGAGGTGATGGCCTTCGTCCTCTTGTTGCCTTGTCACCTTGCGAGGGAGATTGTGCCCTTGTCGCGTACGGGCTTGGACAGATTCCTTCAGCATCTCCCTTGATCTTCCAGCGATGCTAGTCACTACAAATCCAAGTTCCTTTGGATTCTACCTGCCGACACCCTCCAACCCTCGGAAATTGTATCGGGTAGTTCTTAAGGGTCAGATTAGCTTGACTTTGAAGGATGAATTAGACGATAAAGTCGTTTGACCGGTATACTATCCTAAGTGTACCGGTCAACTTTTCGATCATTCAAGCTCTCTCCTCCTGACAATTGAGATCTCTCTTTCAATACTGAACGACTTGACCGGTCAGGTATTTGGACGTCTCCTCTGACCGGTTCTGGGTGGATTACACCCATCAGTACATATTTTACTTATTTCTTCACTTTTTATTTTATTTTTTAATCAATTTTATAGATATATTTTATGTAAAATTATACAAGCATTGCGAAGGTAAGAACTAGTAGATAATAAAAAGATTGTGTTTTGTACGAAACATAACATCTTTATTGATCTTTCTTATGGGTATGAATGTTTGGTGAATAACACATTCTCAAAAAAGATGACACCGACCGAACAATTAGCTAAGAAGAAGTTAATTAAGCTACTACGTATAATCTAAGCCAGTTGTTGTAAAGCTGGGGTTTCGTGTCTGATAATTACAGAAGTCCCATGTTTTGTATGGTTGTCTCTCATCGCAGCTACCAGGCTTCGAACTCGAGATCTCTCCCTTGTAGCATTCTTATGTCAACCGCTGAAGTATGCCTCACCCGCATAAATAACTCATTCTCCACGTGCCACGTGCCACGTGCCTGTCATACAATTTGCACTTTGCACCGGAAGCGCCAATTCCGAAAGGTCAGTTACACAAGCTTCAAAGGGAAAGAAAGGAATCGGGCCCCACACGGAAGGATTGGAAACGCCGCATTTTCTTCTGCATAACAAATCCAATTTTCAGCAGATTGACAAACTGGATATAGAACACTGCTATTTCTTCTACCTGGGAAAGAGAGAAGATTTGGGATCTTGTTTTGGCGACCCCAGGTGCTGTTGAGGTTCGTATCGAATTCAGCACTGTAAGACGATAAAAAAGCATTGATTTTTGAGGTCTGTGCGATATGTTTTGATCAAATTAAGATGGGATTAGGGTTCGTGATGAATGATTTTAATGTTTGAAGGCGCGTTTTTGTTATTTCCAATTTGTCTTTATTTGTTCTGATGTTTGCATGCCGTGGGTCATGTTCAATGCTGCAGTTTTGAGTTGGATTGAGATAATTCTATATATGTGCCCTAATTTTTGCAAGTTTCTTTTGTTGTAATTGTTGTTGTTTAACCCTGTCAGATGTTTACTAACTAAATGACCACACATATGAAAAGTGATCTCTGCAAAACTGATAATGTTACGAAATAGCTATGCATGATATTGAATTATCATCTTGGCCAATTAGAAAATCACTTGTGGATGCTGCTCCTTCTATCCCTAAAGTATCTTTACGTTTTACGCTTAAAGAAAGTAGTATCTCGCTCACACTTTCTCTTGCTTCTAAATATATTTTGAACACAATATACTAATTCTTAGACCGGCAATGATAAAGGGACAAACTGACTATACTGATGATTCTACGGCTGAAAAAGTTAGGAGTGACTTGAGGCTAGAGCATGTAGGTAGAGTTCATATTAAGATTTCTTTTATTTGTGCAAGTAATTCCGACACACTGGTAGTTGCGTTGCCATGATGAATTTGATGGTGGCAGTGCATCATTGACCTAGTCCGTGCATATGACATGATGTTGCTGGATTTTTGCGCGAATCTGAGTGCCGAAAGTTGAAACCTCTCATGGCGCAATCAGCGCAACAACTGCTCAAGTGTTATGAATTAGGCACTTGTTGCAGTATGTGACTAGATTAAAATATAGATAGAAGAGACAATGGAACACTTTAGAGTCTTTGTCACCTGTAGAATTTTAGGAAGTTTTTCACCATTCCTTTTTCTTCTAACTTCATTGCCTGAATATTGTCACAACCAAATTATGCTTATTCTCCCTTTGTTTGGATATAGTTATCCATGTTACCAGTATTTTTGTTTTCTCCGAAATTAGTTGTTCACTTTCCAAATTCAATAAAAAAAGAATATGATGAAGTGTCTAAAATATCATAGATATAAGGTATAATCATTCTTGACATGATTGTTTGACATACTTGAATGACTTATTTGACATTTCAAACTCATTTCTCAAAAATTAGGGTTTTTAGAAAGTCGACAAGTAAATCCGTACAGAGGGAGTATACTACTATGTGCTTTTTCAAACAACTTTTAATTTTTTCCGGTCATACCTAAATAAAGTCTGCTTTTCTCATTTTCTAAACATAATGTTCCTTTACTTTTGCCCCTCTCATTTAACATTCCAACCTTCCATAGTCAATTAGTCTTGACCACATATCGCAAGGGGAAACATGGAATCAAATGCAGTGACAAAATATATAGTAGAGGATGACCTCGTTTGAAAAAAATAAAATTAAATAAGCAACTGGACAACTGTGACATCCGGTAGGTTTTGGATCTCTGTTAAGTGCATTGTTACTATTCACATTGTCTCATTGATTCCCCCTCATAGGCTTGTAGCATGCATCATTTTCTCTTCATAATGGAATGTCTACAATGCATAGAAATACAGATGTTGATTAACTGTGCATTTCATTTTAAGGCTTTTTGGTTCTAAGAATTTTACTTGTTGCAGTTTGCATACACCAATCTAATCACAATACAATGTTTTGGGAATTGGGATGCAAGTATTTCAAGGATGAAATTCTGTATTTACATTTTTTCAGAGATCCAATTGTGATTAACAATAAATGACGTCTTCTGAGGTAGATCCTGATGTGGTTAGGTGGGGTCTGCATCTTATAGACGTTTGTTCTATCAATGATGGTGGTTCTCCTGTCACCATTACTCAGTATGATGAGGACATGTCTCAAACAGAATTCATTAGAGAAGGTTACTGTGATACTTCAGCTTCACAGTTACCTCAAACTGAGTTGATCAGCAAAGGTTACTATGATACACCACGTGCTTACGTGGAGAATGATGAGATAATTGCTCATACCCTTCAAGAGGAATTATCACGAATTGCAGTTGCTGAATCCTCAGGATCTTCGCATGATGAGGAAGAAAATCAGAAAGAGTCTGTTCTTTCTCAGGATTGGCTTGGATCGTCAAAGAGACACTGCGAATCCGGTATGCAAAAAGAAGAGATATACTTATGCCTACTTTTTCTGTGTCCGCTTAATATATTTTAATGGAACATTTAAAATGGTAGGTTGTGAAAGATGTTATGAAGATTCAACATACAATGACATATTCGCTCCATATTCTAGTCCTGTTGAAATTCCAGGCTGTCCCAGTGATCAAACTTATTTTCCGCAGATTGAAGATGAATCCACTCTTGATGGTGAAGTTGGCAAAAGATTGAACCAGATGGTTTCTGTTCCTGTGAGTAAACTCATTTTTGTGCGTCCTGCGGATCAATTTACTAGACAATTTTTTGGATAATAAAATCCAAGTTTTTTTTAAAAATTTCATGTCTTCTCCCTGGGGCAAACCAGAAATGAGAAATCACACTAAGTACTTCTTATACATAGTAAGACTAGCAACTATGGGGATAAGAAGGTAAAACTAGTAATGTGCCAAATTATAATAGTTGTTTCGGCAAGCTAATTGATGATTATATGTGGATAGTAAGGCACTCCTTATTCTCTCTGTGCAGAGATTGCTTACCTGCTCTTTTGTCAACTAGCTATAAGCCCAAAGGGCACACCTCTATTTTAACAAGTAGTTTTTTTTCTGTCCACAAGTGATTGAATATGATATTCCTCTTTCAAATATTGATCATTGTCAGCATGTTCCTAAAATTAATGGAGAAATACCTTCAGTTGATGAAGCTACTTCAGATCATCAGAGGCTAATGGACAGGTGCTTTGAGTATCTTCTGATATATTCTTGTTTAATTTCTTCTTATAATTATTGGGAATTGTTGTTGAATAATTGAATTATTTTCTGGACCCTTTTAATTAAAGAATATCATTTATTCCTGGTTGGGGTGCATTTTTTTATGAGCAATGTGGATAGAATTGAATTCCTTGGCATAGGAGTTGCAGGTTTTAATATTAAGGAGTTTGAAGATAAAGTTACAATTATATGCTATGGATATATAAATATGTTGGAAATCAAGTAGTTGGGATGTACAACCACTTTATGAAAACTATAGCTTTTTAGAGTTTTTAACAGCCTCCCTACTTCCGAGTAGGGGCAAGGTCTGCGTACACACACCCTCCCCAGACCCTACTGTTGTGGGATTCAACTGGGTTGTTGTTGTTGTTGTAGCTTTTTAGAGTTTTCCCTCAAGTTTTTTCATTTGTTCTATTATACTTTAATATTTTTTTACAAAGTTACAAGCGCTTCTTTCTCTTCCAACATTCAGGCTCGAGCTATATGAACTTGTTGAGTCAAAAGTTTCAGGAGATGGCAACTGCCAGGTTAGTTGTATGATGTGATATGACTTCTGTAATCTGTTTGGCTTTAAGCTTTACCACACCATTATAGTGCTTTTGTGCCTTTTCAGTTCCGGTCACTATCAGATCAAATATATCGTACCAGTGAGCATCATAAATTTGTGAGGGAAGAGGTTGTCAAGCAGGCAAGTATTCAATATGCCTAAGACTTATTATTTGAGAGTGAATATCTTTGCTTTAGTTGATGAAAAATTATCAAATTCGATGTGTAATGTTGTCCTTTATCTTTTCCAGCTCAAATCCCACCCCGAGTTGTATAGGGGTTATGTTCCTATGGATTACGATGAGTACCTTAAGAAAATGAGCAAGTATGAAGAATAAGCAAATCACAGTATTTGGTTGCTTTGATTTTCATGCAGTACTAAATGCAGTAATGCATTATTCTTTTTCTTTTTGAAATGATGATAGGAGTGGTGAATGGGGTGACCATGTCACATTGCAGGCTGCTGCAGATGTGGTATCAGCTGCTTTCTTTCTCTCGTGTAATTTTTGCCTGGAACCTTAACTCAGAACACTTTTCGTATGGAATTTATGCATTGAACTTTGGAACATGCTACAATCATTTATTAGCTGTTATAACCAGTTTAAGAATCATTGTAATGTCATTTCTAGGTTTAGGGAACATAACCTAGTCATTATGGGTTGTAGTAGGATCTTAGTTCGGGGGCAATGAAAACAGTCAACCATTAGGATTAGAGTTTTCTGTCTGATCTTTTGAGGGTAATTGAGTAGCATAACCTGAATTTATGGGGACATTTGGTTCCAGTTAATTGACATTACGGTAATGGGAAAGTGAGACAACCTGATGAGTTCTTTAGTAACAAGACTTCTTCAAACTATAGATTTGTTTGATCCGGCATCAAACTAGAACTACCTGCAAATAGTTTTCTCTCATTTCCCTTACCCAAATAGGAGAAATTTAGTTTTCCCTCTTAATAGATTTTGCCTTCTCATTTTCATTTCTTCCACTTTTCTTTTCGTTTCCTCTCAAACCAAACAAGAAAACTTATTTTCCTTTCAAATTCCTTGAACCAAACATACTGTTAGTGAGTGTTCACTTTATGGTATTCTAAATCGGTGTTGGTCACTAAAGTGTTGTATTTTAGGTTTTATACTTTTGAAAGCGTGCAATTAGTTATATCATGTTCAAATGACTAGGTTTGGAATTACATATCCAGTCCTTCACCAATACTAATGCTAGACTCATTTGTTTGTAATAATTTGTTGGTCTTTATCTTGGGGGCACATATTGGAAAAGTGAATTTTTTTGCAGTATGGTGTGAAGATATTCATCATTACATCATTCAAGGATACATGCTACATTGAGATACTTCCACACACACAGATATCAAAGAGAAGTAAGTATGCTGTATGCCATGTAACTTCAAACTCATTCCCAGTTATTGGGCAGAAGTGCATTATAACTTCAAACTCATTCATTAATTACAGTAGTTGGGTCGGGCGGTTAATCCTTTCTTTATTGCAGTTATTTTCTTGAGTTTTTGGGCAGAAGTGCATTATAACTCCATATATCCACGAGGAGGTATTTGGATTAATAACGACAATACAATTTCACATTTCTTAAATTTACGTGCCATCATATTCCCATGTCCCAAAAAATAGCGAGACGAATCGGAGTATTATTGTGGGACTGCTCTATAGCTTCTTCCTTTGCTGCAATGCAGAGTTGCCAGTCGTTGAGGGTGACAAGAAAAAGAAGAAATGGTGGCGGCTTGGGAAGGACTGACTTTCTTTCAAGCTTGTGTGAGCAAGTCCCTCTATCTATCTTGTGGCTCTCCTCTAAGTTCTCTAGCTTGGGAAGGACTGAAAAGAAGGGACAAATATGAAATTCAGTTTGATAGTACTGTGTATATGAGTATATTAGACCCCCTCCTCCTCCAGTCCTCCTCCTCCTATCTGTATAGCAATTTTGATCTACTGTCAACGTCTTATTATTAGGTCATTAAATTTATAGAAAAACATGCATTAATCAGTGCTAGCAACTTAAAAATTGATGTATATTTAGTCAATTATATATATATATATATATATATATATAGACACACACACATTTGTTCTTTTCAGTTCAGTTAATCATCTGCTTAGTTGGAAGTGTATGCTGCAAAATTATCATCTCAAACCCAACCATTCTTTCATCACTAGGCAAAGAAAAATATAAAAAGATCTGTTTATTAAAGTTTCATAATCCATTTACATGTGTCATCTTGACCAGTGCACAAAAAAACATGCATTAAAATAAAAATGCAAAGCCAGCAATTAGCTTTCCCATTAATAGTAGACCAATTTAAGTGTTAAATATTACAATTAGGAGTGTGGAAGTATAATGTGAAAGATCAAATGGTCAATTATAATATTGTTATATACTCTCTATTACCAAGTAGTTTCTTTTTCAGTCATTTCCTTGATTTCATGATTTGGTTTTACACTTGGGTCATAAGACTAAATGAAATGAAAATTAGTTAAATGATTTGTGGTACTCCATTTGTTTGGGATCTCTTTTTATTTTTCATTTTTTTCAAAAACAAAAGTTTTTTTTAAAAAAATTGGATTATTTTTTATATCATACAAACAATTTGAATATTTGAAGCTATCTTCTAGAATAAATTTTTGAAAAAATTTGAAAAAGAAAACAAAGTGAAGAAAAAAAAGAGAAACACAAATGGAAAATAAAGAAACCAAAAAATACTTCATCCGTCTTAAAAAGAATTACTCTTCACTATTCAAAAGTAACAAAAACTTTTATTTATTTGTATATTTTGATTGATTATTTAATAAAATAAATCTTCTTTTCACTTCGTTTTTTATACTGGGTAAAATTTTTGACGTAATTGTTAAATATGTAATTTTATTTTTAATTTGTATATCAATTTTTAAATAAAATAAATTTAAAAGACTTGAAACTTTGCTTTGTTTTGCATACAGTGTAAAATATTTTGGAATGGATGGAGTTGGATCTAAGAGTTATTAGCATAAAATATTAAGAACAAAATAGGAAAAGTATACTCCGTATTTATAAACGTGTATGTATAGAACAATGGATGGAATGTCTCCTGCCAGTACTTAGACCTTCCGTAATGCCTCACGGAGCTGAGGTGGCATTGCCACCTTGGCAATTCTTCTCAGAACATTGCCCTCCTTGTGTCTGTGAGTCATGCACCGTGACTCCCATCACGGAGAGAAGAAGTGGAATGCTCGGTTTTCTTCCTTCTTTAATTTGTTTACTCTATATTTCTTTTGTTTTTTTTTCCTTTTTTTGTTTGTTTCTTTTGTTTTTAGTTTTTTTGTTTATTTTTTTTAGTTGCTTTCTCTTTTTTTTTTTCGTTTTTTAGTTGTTTCTCTTTTTTGTCTAGTTTTTTTCGCAGGGTAAATTTTCTTTTCTTATTATTTTTTTGTTTTTTATTGTTTGTATTTAGTTTTTTAGTACTCCCTCCGTCCTAATTCTTTCTTCCCAGTTTGACTTTTTCCCATTTTTAATTTTTGGCTTTGACTTCAAATTTTACCCTCCTTAAAAAAAGATTTTTTGAATTTTTTTTTTTGCAATCATTCAAAATATAGAGTTAGAAGATAATTGGTGTAAATACATGAGGTTATTAATGTCATTTGTCATCTTTTTTTTCTAATGGGAAGGTAGTTTTAGGACGGAGAAAAAGGGAAAGTGAGAAGAAAGTTTTAGGACAGAGGGAGTAGTATTTTATTTAAGAGATGTCTAAAAAGTTATTTAATTTTTTATATTAAAAATAGATAGAATTTAATTTGAATAGAAATATCATATAAGAAATATTCTTTTTGGTGCAATAATTTGTTACGGAGTATAATATAAAAAGGAAAAAAATTAATAACGAAAAATTGATAACAAAAAAGTCATAATAACAAAAATTTAATAATATAAACGAAAAAATTTGTATTAATTTGCATTATTAATTTATAAATGATATAATTCGGTTTGAATATAAAAAGGAAGTTATTTATATAAAAAATAAAAGTGTAATCAATGCAACGGTGGTGAGGCATTACAGTTGTGAAGTGAGTGAGATGGTGAGTACAGTCAATGCTGATGTGGCAATAAATGGCTGTTGATTTGGAGGAGCGATGGTGAGACATTACAGATAGCCTTACAAAAAATTCAAGGGTCCCTTATGTCCTATTGAAAATAGAGGAACCAAGGAGTTTTTTCAATAAAACATGTATCCCCTGAGAATAAGTTCCATAAATGATCCCTTATAACTGGTAATTTTCAATATTTAGTCTCCAATTCTAAGTTAATTTTTGAAAATATTTCATAATCAGTTCTTTAAAGACTATATGTGAAAGAAAAAATTTGTGATATTTGACATAAAGGACTATTTATTAATTATCTTAAAATTGAGGATCAAATATGAAAAATCACATGTTATAAGGGACCATCCATGAAATTTACTCTACTTTCAATTAGGGTTACATTAACGCTTTTGCGAAATTCACTCCCTAAATGACTATATCCACACGTTTTTATCTAATTTTGCTAAAGCCACACCCACTAATATAAAGGTGGTACTATTGCGAATTTACCAAAATTAGGTGAAAAGCGTCTATTTTGGAATGAATTTAACAACACCCTTGAAACTCTAAGAAAAGTAAAAAAGAGTACTTTCTCCAGATTGTGTTTGAATGCTTACCCTTCTTATTAAAAATCTCCCACGCCGAATTTCTAGCTCAAACCTGTTTTCTTTATAATTCCTCGGCTGAATTCACCTTCTGCCAAGTTTTATGGTTTCATTGGGGTTATAACCGGTATCAGAGGGTACAAGGTCAAAGGATGGTGGCAATTCCTTTTAATAAGTAAATTTGAAAAAAAAGTTTCACTTCTTTCATATAAAATATAAAAAGGAATTGCCACCATCCTTGTCTTTGAGCCACTTTGACACCAATTTTTTTTTCTTCTTGAGTCATGCTTTGTGTTTGACTCCTAAAGTGTGGTGTCAAAATAGGCACACCAAGTAGTGTCAAAAGTTAAATACAATTGGGAGTGTGGAAGTATAATGTGAAAGATCAAATGACCAATAGTGACATTGTGTTATATATATTTACTACCAATTAGTCTCACTTTCAATCATTTCCCTAACTTCATTAACAACCAAATGCGCTTTGTGCCCTCCGATCACCTCGCCGCGCTTCTTCCCATTCTTCCACAGCTGTTAAGACCAATCGTTTTATCAAATCTAGTTGTTCATCAACATCAACCGAGGAAAAGAAAAGAATTACCTGGATTGTTGGCATTTTCTGTCTCCGGTTGTTTTCGCGAGCAATTTGATCGATCCCCAATGAAATTGTTAAAGAAAAAATGCAGCACCAATTAGATTTCCTATAGACACTGAAGTAAGAACTACCGTAGCGCATAAGGAGATGGAGGAGAAACTTACAGTGACTCCTGCACGCACAACGAGCTTGTGGGGACAGTTATTAACATCAACGCTGTAAAACCGCACACTACAACAACATGCACATATGAAACCAAAGATTAAGAATGTGATGGAATATATATTAAAGTTTAAACCCAAGTCGGTTGCAGGATTTGGATTATACTCCTCAACACTTCTTCAAGTAAAAGACCGTAAACTTAACGCCGAGGACAGTTTCCTAACCTTGGGTAGTAATCCGCGGCTAACTTCTCCAATTTCGGTTTCAAAAATATACATTTTCTGCACCACATTGCCATCCTGAAAACCCAAGCAGCTTCCCAAATGTCAACTCACTTCAAACTTCTCTTTTAGCACAATATACAAGTATTGCAAATTTGCATGAAATTTTGGCAAAATGAGGTAATTTACAGAGTAGAACACAGTCCAATGTGTGCCTAACTGCCTATAGATACAAAACATCAAGAGTGCACTAGCTTGAAGTCTAGAACAGCACATTCACACAGTTCAAATCAATATGTTATCAGATAGGATAGGAGGGCTTGGGCGTGGGAGACAAACCAAACAAGATAAACACTAAAATCCCATTTCTTTCTACCAAACAAGGTAACATTAAAAGATTCCCTATACCACATAAACTGCAAAATCTTTATCTCCATTTCCTAACAAGAAAATTGGTGAAGTAATCTGCAACTCAGATGATTTCAAGCATAACCTCCTACATTGGAAGGGGAGCAGAAATTGATAGAATTTATGATGGAGTAGTGATAACCAGATGGGATAATAAGACACTTGGGCTGAACCACATTAAAAGATTGAATCCAATCAATTAGTTAGTTCAACCCAAGAGCTTATATACCGATTATTTTTCTCTTGAACTTCCAATGTGGGATGCACTCTAACACTCCCCCTCAAGTGGACAACCGAGCCATTTTGATTCTAACCGGTTGACCACTTGCAAATAAACTCACATTCCCTTGATTGTTTTTGAGCGCCAACACCTAAAGGACCACGAGCCGCTGGGTATGGACTTCCAGACGAGCTGTTAAACGGGACACAGGCCGTTGGGTACATACTCCATACGGACAACTGGGCTAAAGACTAACGGGCCGCTAGGAATGAACGTACACCTTGACAAATGAGGTGGGCCAAAACCTGCTTCGATACCATGATAGAATTTATGATGGGGTAGTGATAACCAGATTGGGTAATAAGACACTTGGGTTGGACCACATTAAAAGATTGAATCCAATCAATTAGTTAGTTCAACTCAAGATATTATATACAGATTATTTTTCTCTTGAACTTCCAATGAACTTCCAATGGATGCACTCTAACAGAAACCCAGTATAATCCCAAGTCCCAACTATGTTAGTCTGGGGGGTCAAAATGTACCTAATGTTGTTTCCCTTAGCCCTTGATGCATTTACTTCCAAAAAAAACGTCATAAAAACCCCCAAAGCAGCGAAATTGTTACCATAGAATGATTACTGATTCCCCTGCGGTGACCCCGTCGAACTGATCCTCGCCGGAAATAGGCTGCAAATCAATAGACGCCGGCGAATCGCCGATGGCATGAACAGATCCTCCTTCTTCTTCGTCTTCTTCACACTTGGCTAGAGCTTCGATTTTTCCTCCTCCGCGATGGAATTTAATTGAAATCAGAGAGACAAAATTTGGGTTCCAATAATTCGCTCTGATCAACTTTAGATTGGAGAAACAGAATGGGGTTTTTGCGCGTAGACGATACCCACTGCTGCTGCAGCTGGCCGGAGATGTTTGCAGTGCGACGGGCATGTCGGGGTTTCTGTATTTCTTTGTGTGATTCCAATTTCCAAGGCGCAATCGATGAAAAAGTTTAATGGGGGGATTTAAGGTACGTTTCACATGTGTAGTGAGAGGCCAATACTAATTAGAAGGGTAGACTAGTTGGCCAAGTTGGAGGGAAATCAACATAAAATCTCAATCTTTTTTCCCTGGAAACTTTTACAGTTTTACATTGCCACTGCCGGGATTCGATCTTATGAACCTCACATCCTCCCTAGAACCAGTTGAGCTACCATACAACCAATTTTTGGAGTTAGAAGAATGATTTGGTTTTTTTTCTTTGTGATTTCAGTGGGTATTTTATGTAATGAAACTTATTTAGAACGAGAATTTTAATACTTCTTCCGTCCTCCAGTTTTTGTCCACTTTCATTTTTGCACACTATCCAATGCACTTCTTTAATCCATTTTATCTTGTAATTTGTATATTAAAAAATTATAGAAATTATATATTAATAATTTATATGTTAAGACAAATCAAACAAGATCACACATGACTATATTTAGGCTTACACATTGAGAGAATTTTATGAGTTAAAGTGCTTAGATGAACAGTTTCAAAAGTCAAAAGTGGACAAAAACTGGAGGACGGAGGGAGTAGATGTTAACGAATTTGGATGTGTGTAGTATATGTTCTTTCTTTTAATGACGATATTGTGAATACAATAATAACCATAGATATAGATTGTACGATTCAAGGTTGTATTGAATGATTTTAGGCCCAATCCATAATATAAGAATTTTTTTCCCATAAAAGCCGGACCGATAAAATAGAAACGATTTTTGTGGGAGAAAAAGGCTTTAGTAATTTTTTTTATTAAAAACTAATACGGAGTATTGTTTTGTGTTCATCAAAAAAATGTTTGTTTACTATAGAAGCTAATAATGTTATTAAATTTGCAATTATTAAAAAGTTGTTTTTGTTGTGAAAAATATTTCAACAAAACATCAAAGTGTCTCCTTGTGTGCCTCTCAATTCACCACTCTTCACTTTAGTTCATTTTCTCGTTACTTCGTCCTCAAAAAATAAAGTTCTTATTGAGTAATACTCGCTATTCCAACTAAAAACAAGGGAAATCACATTGAAAAGTACCACAAGACAAAATTCTCCATTCACATGTCTATTATAGCTTAACCTTCCAACAAGATACACATATAAGCCTTCAACTCTACTGTAATCTTTTTCAAAATGGCAAAAAAAAAACTTGATTTTGCACTCAACAAAAAAGGAGAAAAAATTCCATATATATATGAACTGTGTGTCATTTGATTATTATGTACTACCCTGATGACTTGAGATCCCAAAGGACACCTACAGAAAATGTCACTGCTCTGTTATGATCACCTCATCCAGCCATTGAAGCTCTTCTGCACTGAGTTCCGTGGTTCGTTCTTCGTGCCATAAACAATCCATCACCATCATCTCTTCTGAACCATCATCACTGCACTGAAAAATCTCTTCAGGATCGAAGAGTGCGAAACAATCGCTGAAATCCCATAGCTTTGCAGGCGAATCGCAGACATTAGTGTTATGATCATCAAAGCCCAAGCTTTTCAAGTCATTGCCATCTCTGGCACTTTCCTCCAAGCCAAAGAAGATGAGTTCTTGACCCATCAAAGAGGACATCACATTGGCAGTACTTTCTGATGAGGAACTTGAACAATTCTGTCTCTTTTTTTCTGAAGCAAGATTATTATTATTTTTTTTAATGATTCTTTCGATTTCTGCCTTTCTGGTGGCATAAGCACGGCCTGCGTCTTCGGCATTGACAAAAGTGCCCAGCCATTCTCTCTTCTTTGTTATTGGGTCTCTGATCTCCGCCGCGTATTTCCCCCATGCCCTTCTTCTAACACCTCTGGGCAGATGCAAAATCGGTTCTTTTCGACTACCCGATATGCCATTGTCTTTGATTTTTGGTTTTTCTTGGAAAGGAATGATCACCTCCTTGACAATTCGACAAGAGCTTCTTCTTCTTCTTGTTCCATGAGGACAGGAAAAATCTTCATCTGTATCAGATTCTGTTGCATCTGGATCTTCATAGATTATCTTTACCTTTCTCAAACAGCTGAAATCACACTTTCCACTCTTCTTCTCCTTCATAACTGATCAGTTCGAGTTTATGACCATATTACAAGGAGTTCAAGATTCTTCAAGTCCCCAGATTTTGTGGAACCCAGTTCAAGAATATTCCAACAATACCAGAACAGGTCCTGCAAGCAATTAAAGCAAAAACCCACCACAGAACCACCCATTAATGGCACATCCCAAAATTTCAAACCACAAAAAAACAATCGGAAGATTAATTTCTTGGATTTGCTCACACGTACAGCCATCACTCGCTTGTTGGGTACTCAAAAGATTCAATTTTTGAGCCAAAATTAACACAAAAGTGAAAGATTTCTCCCTTTCTGTATACTACATTGGACGTACCTTTCAAGAAGAAGAAAGTGAGATTCTTGATGAGAAAAGGTGAGACCGATCAGAAAGACACAGATGGGTGAGGAATTCTGATCCAAGAAGAAGATGAAGAAGAAGAAGATAATTAAGAAATTTATGATTTGGAAAAGGGATTGAAGGGTCAAGAGAATACATAGAATTTTGAAAATATCTAAATCGGTATTCTTTCCTAATATACTCCATCAGAATTTCCTAATCTCCTGAGATTTTCCTTTCTTTCTTTAAAAAAATTAAAATTTCTGTTTTAGAATTCGTCCCGCCGGTGCACTCTGTCGAGAGAGTCTGGCCTTTCCCAATGCACAATCGCATTGAAGAAAGTATAATGGCAACTCCGGCCGCCAAGAAGCTCACTTCCCGCCCTTTTGGAAAATCAATATGATCCTTTATTTTTATTAAATGAATATTTATTTTCTGGAGATAAAAAAATGGTCTCGTCTAATTTCATTCTTTCCATTTAAATTAGATAAATTTGATTGTCAATTAAATGAAATTATATTACATGTTAATGCAAAAAATATTTTATTGATTTATCTGGTAGAAGATTTAAAAAAACTATCATTGAATTAATATGCAATGCAAATTTAACATACTTCATTTGTCCGAAAATATTCTTCTCACTCTCTTTTTTAGCCCGTCCGAAAATATTCTTTATATTTCCTTTTTAGAATCTTTTTAAGGATAAATTTTAATAATACCTTTATATTTTATCTTTTATCTGCTTTTTAGTTGTTTTTAATACGAAAATGAGATTTCAAAGTTTATAGTATGTGCATTATTGAAAATTCGACACTTTTATTATTCCATAATAAGACACGAGAAGAACATTCCCAGACGAAGGAAGTAACTCATAAATAAAGTTCATTCTGTTAGACATCAAAAAAGTCAAACACGACGAACGCTCTAAGATGGTTGAAATATTTTCTTAGTTTTTATTTTATTTTTAAAGTTATAGAGTTTGATAAAATAAGAAGTGAAATTTGCAAACAATATGATTAAAAATTATGTCATTTCCCTAAATAAATAAGGCTGAGTGGTAGGAAGTCCACTCCCCAACATTTATGGAAAAGTTCACCTAAGTTCGAGCCCTAGCGGAGGGTTGATTCTTTGTACGTCATTAGGCTGAAAATAGTATGTACAGATAGGGGAGTCCAAGAACCGCGGGTCGAGACCGAACTGCACGATTCAGGTCGAGTTATAGGCGGGTCCAATATTTTATTTTCTAAAACGGGGCGAGGCAGGCCGGTTCCTATGTAAAAGCAGGCCGGGCTGTTCTCAAAATTTTAAATTTATTAAATCGGGTCCGCCCGTTTAACGTTAAAAAATACTCCCTCCGTCCCAAATTATAATGTCTGTTTACTATTCACAAGGTCAAACTTCATTCACTTTCTTTCTCTATTCTCGTTAGCAATTTGATAAAATAAAATATTATTGTCACTACTAGTTTTGTAGATCTTTTGATGTAGTTTTTTAATATGTAATTTTTATTTTTTAATTCTATACCATTTGTCATATAAAATGGTTTGAAAATAATTCCAGTCAAACATCGTAAACCGAAACAGGCGTTATAAAATGGGACGGAGGTAGTAATACATTTTATAATTGGTAGTCTTTTCAAAGCGTTAACGATAATATCAAGCGGGACATATATTAGTATATACGGGACAATCGACCATTTAATTGGGTAGACTATATATTTGGAAAAAATTAATAACCTAGAATTTTGGACTCGTGGACCCGTGAAATCGACCCGTTTCAAACAAGCCGGGTTAGGACCGATTTCAATTTTTATTTTCAACCACTCGTCCCGACCCTTCTCGTATCTATAAAAGCAAGCTCGGCCTAGGTTTGTAAAAAATTGGCCCGAACCAACTCGTGTCCACTCCTAGGTGATACTCCTATAAAAATAAGTTGAGAGGCTAGAGATTAAACATTTTAAAGGGGAAGCAAGACAATGAAGAATTAGAGCAAATTGATTAGGCAAACGTTACAATTGTATGAGTAAGTAGTTTATCAATAATATAATCCCTAACATAAGAGCATGTCTACTTGTTTTTTTGTTGAAAATCAATAAATATTATATTAGATTAATAATAAAGTTTGGGGTACATCAACCCATACACCCATGCTTTGAGAAGAATATGAGGCTTGCGCTAATACATGTGCAACCTCATTAGCAGAGCAAGAAACAAAGTAAACTGCAAGTCCCCATCACATAGGGCACGTAGACTTTTACAGTCATCAATGAAAGAATTAAAATAAGACCAATCAGTACCAGGATTATTCAAATTTGCCTCTACATTTTTGCAATCATTCTCTACAATGACTTTCTCCCAATGCGTGAACTTTAGGCCAAATAGCTCCGTTACCCCCTGTGGTTTGAAAAATTGGCACCAATACCCCCTATATTTTCAAAACTTATTTCTAAAATCCCCGTGGTTTCAAAACGTTGCACCCACGCCCCATCTGATCATTTTCCGGCCATTTTTCGGCGAAGAGGGGGCATTGGCGCATAATTTTTAAACCATAGGGGGCATTCGTGCTCATTTCTTATTTTCGTTTATTATTCTTCCCTTTTTTAAAATATTTTCTATCTCTTTTTCCTTTTCCTAGATTTTTTTAAATATATTTTCAATTTTTTATAATGTTTCAAAAATTTTCAAATTCTTTGTGTTTGAAATGAAAATAAAAATAAAAAAATTAACATATATTACATCTATCTCAAATTAAACATTTTCACTCTTTGTTACTTAGAATAATTTTTTGAAAATTTCAAAAAAACAAAGAATAAAAAAATGAAAATATGGAAAAACGAAATGAAAAAAATTTAAAATACGCAAAAAAAAGTCTTATACAAAAAAAATAAGACACGCCTAAAAAAGTCCATAGAATTAAGATGTCCAAAAAGGATATTCATTTTTATTTTTGTATTAATTTGTTTCTTATTTTATTCCTCATTTTTTTGAAGTTCTTAAAAAAATGAGCAATGCTAGGGGTACACCAAAAGTGTACCCCATTTGTCCCCCACCACTTTCTCCACCACTCATTTTTACCCCATTTTTATTTATTTAATTTTTAAAAAATATTTTGCCCATTTTTGTGGTAATGGAGGGGGTGGGGGACAAATGGGGTACACCTTTTGGTGTACCCCTAGCATTTTTCTAAAAAAATTACTCCCTCCGTTCTTAAAAACTCTTCCTCTTTCATTTTTTTTACTTCCAACAAAACACTTCCACTTTCTATTAAAAAACCACTTTTACCCTTATTTTTTCATACCCTACCTATCACATCATACTTTTTCTCTAATACTCAATACATCACATTTTACTTTTACTCATCACATCAAGGGCAAAATTGGAAGTCAACTACAATTTAACACTTTCTTATTTTTACACAAAGTCAAAATAGGAACACTTTTAAAAAATGGAGGGAGTACTTTTTTTCAGAAAAAACAAAAATTATTAATTTGAGAAGTACATATGCATTATATGTTATTTTTTAAAACAAAAATAACTTTAAATTTTAAGAACATTATAAAAATAATTTTTTTAAAAACCTTTATTAATAAATGAAACAAAATAAGGAAAAAATGGAAAGAACAAAAAATATGCGAGAAATAAAAATCAGCACTGATACCCCCTATGGTTTAAAAAATATGCACCATTGCCCCCCTTCTTCGCCGGAAAAATGGCCGGAAAATGATCAGAGGGGGCATGAGTGCAACATTTTGAAACCACATGGATTTTAGAAATGAGTTTTGAAAACAGAAGGGGTATTGATGCTTATTTTGCAAACCACAAGGGGTATCAGCGCTATTGGCCCGTGAACTTTATCCAGCTTAAAGCCTCTTTCACATCAACTGTTTCTGCCTCTCTCACTCTATAGCTTCCTTTAAGACATTTATTTTTTGCTTAATAAAGTGACTGTCATGATCTCTGGCAATTATTCCAATACCCACAGCTCCGTCCACAAGCCCTACTAACGCGTCTGTATTACTCGTTATATAACCCGTCAGAGGGGTTTCTCTGGTGTAGTTGTCTTCAACACTTGCTCGTCTTTCTAGTCCTAGGCCAATCACTCTCTACCATTCCTCAAACATTGCTTCCATCCACGTTCTCAAAGGTGAAGGAACTTGTTTTAATTAGGCATGGATAAGTACATACACTTCTCCGCACCCCATTTTATGAGATCTAACTAGATTCATTGTTGTAGTCTCATTGCATTATTTCTTTTTTAATTTTAATTAAACTGAGTAATTGTCTATTTAAAAAAACAAGTCTACAGGATACTATAGAAAACGTTATTTGCCTTTTGGGGCTTTATGTTCAAATGTAGTTTGTACCCATTGGGTACGGTACTTGCAAGGAGGGAGTGGTCATTTTGGTTTTGTTTTTCTTTTTTTTTCCCTTATATTTTGTGGGTTTCTTTGACTTGTTTCAATTTTCTTCCCCAGCATTGAGTTTGTTCCTCCTCACTTGACATTCTAGTATTTCTTTATTCAATCAATGCATTTTTATTTTATCAAAAAAAAAAAAGTGGACATATGGTAGTAGAGGTATCCCCTCAAATTTTCAACAAAATGTTATACACCACTGTTTCAAACAGATTCAAGCAAGGACAAGGCCATATTCATTTTAATCAACAAAGGAGACACTCACTCACTACCTGTCGTGTCTCTATACATGGTATGTAATCGTGTTGTACCCTTTTGGTG